ATATTTCTTCTGTTTTTGAAATAATATCCAATTTTTCTCTTTGTTTCAGATTACCCTCTTATGCATATTTATAACCTTTGCTAAGCAAGTCTAGGACTTCATTAGGGATACCTTCACCTGTTAAATTCATTATGTTATTTTTTGGCTTAATTTCAGAGTTGAGTACTTCATTTTTCTTTTCAGGGAAGAGTTTTTCATTAATAAAATCAATTTCTTTATATTGGCATAATAATTTTAGCATGTCATACCTCTTTAAACACTTGATAACAGGACTATATAAGAACTTGCTGTAACATGTTTTCTCATTTATTCTTTTGTCTGATGATGGTGACAATGTTGTTGCCGAAACGTCACACACTAATAAATTATTTGGATTAGGTCTTGTTTTCTTTTATTATAATCTATAATCCAAATTGTGCTTTATCATTTTTTGATAGACTTCAATGGACCTAAGAAGTTATTTTCTTTTGAGCTGAAGAAAATGAATTCCAAAGTGAATACCAATGTTGATGCTAAGCCATCACTTGAAGATTCTACTTTAAAGAATTCAGGATCTGAAGCTCTCCTCCACTTCAAGAAGTTGAGAAAACACAGCATTAAAAGGGTGAGTTCTTTTTCTCACATCTATTTTCTTAAATTCTGTAAAATGCATCAAATAATTACTAATGCATTTCTCATTACAAACAGATGGAATTTTCCAAAATCTGATTCAAAATTGAAAAGATTATCACTTGATCTTATAAATGGAGAGATTAGATTTCATTGGAAAAATATTCATTTCAATACTAAGGCTATAAATACCAATCTCAAAGTGCTAGCAGACAGTATGAATAGTGACCTTTTTGAAAAAATAAAAAATATTATTGAAATAAAAACAAACTACATTGCTAAACAAAATTCAAAAAGGCATTTCAAAAAAATAGAAGGTATTTTAAAGAGGTATGACATGCTAAAATTATTATGCCAATATAAAGAAATTGATTTTATTAATGAAAAACTCTTCCCTGAAAAGAAAAATGAAGTACTCAACTCTGAAATTAAGCCAAAAAATAACATAATGAATTTAACAGGTGAAGGTATCCCTAATGAAGTCCTAGACTTGCTTAGCAAAGGTTATAAATATGCATTAGGGGGTAATCTGAAACAAAAAGAAAAATTGGATATTATTTCAAAAACAGAAGAAATATGCAAATTTCTTAACCCTAATGAGGCAGCAAATATAAGATTTGAAGTTACTAATACATTAAAACAAAATTATAAATCAAATAGTATTGATAGAAAATTGACCTCCAAACTTAAAGGCCTACAAACAAAATATGTAATAACAAAATATGACAAAGGAAATGGAATTGTTTTAATGAAAAAAGAAGACTATAAACAAAAAATGCTTTCTTTATTGAATAACAATGGGACCTATTCTCCTATACAAAATGATCCAACAAAAAACTTCAAAAATAAATTGAACACCATACTTAAAAACTGGAGAAAAAAAACAAATATATTAATTATAGGCTTTTAACCAAGTTGAAAAATTATGATGCACATGTTCCTAAGATATATGGTGCTCCAAAAGTCCACAAGCCTAACTGTCCATTACGCCCAATAGTAAATAATAGACCTTCACCAACATATGCCTTGTCAAAATGGTTAGCACAACAATTAAAAATCTATCAATATTTTAATGATAATGAAATTGTTAACTTCTATGAATTCAAAGAAGATATTATTGACATGAAGCTAAATGGAAATCAAAGAATTATATCTTTAGATGTTGAATCCATGTTTACACATCAATCCCTATACCCACAATTATGGATGCATTAAACCATGTGATTAAAGAATCAAAAATAAATAATTTGCCAAAATCTGAATTTTTAATTGGAATAGAATTTTGTTTGAAAACAACATACTTTATTTATGATGACCAAATATATCTCCAAATGAAAGGTGCAACAATGGGTAGTCCAATATCACCAAACGCAGCTTGTATTACTATAGGCCAATTAGAAATAAAAGCTCTAAATTCACTTAAAAGTGATGTTTATTATTTTAAAAGATATGTGGATGACTCCATTTTATTTATTAATCAGGGAAGTGAACAAAAAATTTTGGATACTTTCAACAATTTATTACCTGATATCAATTAATTTCATGGACATGAACTTATCATACAGTAATAACAATATTACAACCTCTATATACAAAAAACCAACACATACAGGAACTTATTGGAACTTTAGCTCACAGCACCACTTCAGCCAAAAAGTAGGATTAGTAAAAGCTCTTATATATAGAGCTTTTACACTCATTAATGATACAACTAAAAGAAATATAGAAATTAACAACATCAAAAAAGAACTAATCAATGAAGATTTTCCCATCAAATTGATAAATAGAATAATAGAAGACATGAACCAAAAATATGAGAATAATACTTTAATGCAAAATCTAAAGTGCAAAAACAAAGAAGCCAAATTTATCTCATTGCCATTTATAAACCAAAAGTTTGCAAGAAATTTTACTAATATATTCAAAAAGTATGGAAAAATAAACATTGCATGGAAATCATGTAACCCTATCTCACAATACCTAAACCAGCACAAGAACACCCAATTAACAGAAAGAGCAGGTTTGATCTATGAAGTTAAGTGTGAGAAGTGTGATCAAAGATATGTGGGACAGACATCCAGAACATTAAAAGAAAGGATGGAAAACCATAAATATGCTCTGAAGTGGGATAGAATTCAAAATTCTGCTCTTGTAGAACACAGAAGGGACACAGGACACAATAAATTCAATTTAGAAAACCCAAAAACACTGGACTATGAAAAAAATTATTACAAAAGACAGTTCAAAGAAGCCTTTTTCATCCAAAAGACATGTGCTTCAATTAATAGAATGGAAGAAAGGGGAAATATAAATGATATTTACAGATATGCCTTTAATTATATTTAAAAAAAATCCACTTTTAATTCTAAGAAGAATATTTCAAGTTGACTTAAAAACTATTTTCCTTATCTGTTATCTTGTTTAAACACTTGATAACAGGACTATATAAGAACTTGCTGTAACATGTTTTCTCATTTATTCTTTTGTCTGATGATTGTGACAATGTTGTTGCCGAAACGTCACACACTAATAAATTATTTGGATTAGGTCTTGTTTTCTTTTATTTATATTTCCTCTTTCTTCCATTCTGTTAATTGTAGCACATTTCTTTTGAATGAAAAATGCTTCTTTAAATTGTCTCTTAAAATAATTTTTCTCATAATCTAGTATCTTTGTTTCTTTTAGGTTAAAATTATTGTCCTGTGATTTTTCTAAGTTCTACAAGTGCAGAATTCTCAATTTTATCCCATTTCAGAGCATATTCAAGGTTTTTCATTCTTTTTTTTTTTAAGTTCTGGATGTTTGTCCTACATAACATTGGTCACATTTTTCACATTTCACTTCATAAATTAACCTGCTCTATTTGGTATGTGAGTGTTCTTATGGTTGTTGATATATTGAGAGATAAGGTTACATGGTTTCCATGCAATGTTTATTTTTCATATTTTTTGAATATATTAGTAAAATTTCTTGCAAACTTTTGGTTTATAAATGGCAATGTGATAAATTTGGCTTCTTTGTTTTTGCACTTTAGATTTTGCATTAAAGTATTATTCTCATATTTTTGGTTCATGTCTTCTATTATTCTATTTATCAATTTAATGGGAAAATCTTCATTGATTAGTTCTTTTTTGATGTTGTTAATTTCTATATTTCTTTTAGTTGTATCATTAATGAGTGTAAAAGCTCTATATATAAGAGCTTTTACTAATCCTACTTTTTAGCTGAAATGGTGCTGTGAGCTAAAGTTCCAATAAGTTCCTGTATGTGTTGGTTTTTTGTATATAGAGGTTGTAATATTGTTATTACTGTATGATAAGTTCATGTCCAGGAAATTTATTGATTTGTTGTTATCTACTTCCATAGAGTAATTGATATCAGGCAATAGATTGTTGAAAGTATCCAAAAATTTTTGTGCAATTGATATAATGCAATTATATCAATAACCATAGGTTAATAGTGGAACATTGTGAAAAAATAGTCATAATAGTATCACACACAATTATCTACTTATATATTTGCCTTATTCTGTCTGTTTGTCTGAAGCTTTGTCTGAAGCTCACGGATAGAATGCGCGCTCATTGGCTGTAGATACGATGTACTAGAGCGCCATCTGTTATCAAATTATAAAACTATTTTAGAGGCGTAATATTCTTTTTATTTTTTATTTTATTTATTTATTGTTTTTTATTATTTTTTATTTATTTATTTTTTTTTTTCTTTTTATTTTTTTATTATTTTTTTTTTATATTTTTTTATTTTATTATTATTTTTTTTTTTTTTTTTTTTTATTTTTATTTTTTTTTTTTATTTTTTTTTTATTTATTTATTTTTATTTTTTTTATTTTATTTATTTTTTTATTTTTTTTGTGTAAGTTTGCCTCTCTCATAAACCTGTCTATACAGACCACCCTGACTATAGCGACCACTCTAGACAACCCTGTTATCAGCTGCCTGTCTATACAGACCACCCTGTCTATAGCGGTCACCTTAGGCAACCCTGTTACCAGCAGTGTGATACATCCACCTGTCTATACAGACCACCCTGTCTATAGCGACCACTCTAGACAACCCTGTTATCAGCTGTGTGATACATCCACCTGTCTATACAGACCACCCTGTTAATAGCGACCACCCAAGTCAACGTTTTTAAAATATATTCGCACTCGGGTAAACCCCGGGCGTTGCCCGGGCCATTCGTCTAGTAACATTATAAATAAAAATATATTACATAAATAATACAATATAATGTGGCTTATGATTGTAGAACGACATTTGAAAATTATCCAGCAAACGTTTCTTTTGAACGAAAAATCAAAATTTATTTCAAGGAGATATAATGATTATTTATAAACTTAGGGATGAAGTATGAAAGGATGAATTGTGAAGGGTAATGATAAAAGGAATCGAACCCAGTGTTCTTCCACTTACAGGGCAGATGCCATGTCCACTAGGCTACCCTGGACATATTTTTTCGTTTTTAAATATTATTATTATAAAAGAACCATTTGTGGGATAATTTTAATTATATATTTGATTATCTCCTAGAAAAATATTCGCTATCAGTGAATGTTGAGTTGAAATGATTTAAATTAAAACTAACTTTATTTCAACTGAAAGCTCTGTTACCATCTTCTCTTCTTTCTTATCTTCACTCAATCACACTAAGGTATCAAGCTTGTAAAGCTTGAGACTTAATGGTGTCTGCCGGGGAAGAGTAGAGCTCATCAATGGATGAGTCAATACGGTTAATAATATGTCTTGGGGTTGCAGGCTGAGAATTGCACTTAGTACATAGTGGGAAACCCTGCAACCATTCTGGAAAGTCATTGTCCGTAGATGACCAGACTTAAATCTTGAAATCAATAACTGTTGCTCTGTTACCTTGGGGTGTTGAATTGAAGTTAGACTGAAGTTATTGAAAGGTTCATTGGTCTATAAATATAAGTTAAAATATTACCAAATCCAAATAAATAAAAACAATTGCTTTATTAGGACATTTCCATCCTGTAAGGACTCGCCAAACATCACTTTCATGAAGAGGGAGGTAAAAAACAAACAAAGGAGAGAGGGGAAAATGAAAAGGAAATCAAAGTATTTAACATAACTATACAAATTAACTATGGATAGAAATTGTTCTGTAATTTTAGTTCTTAGAGATTACCTTGTTCACTAACGCTTTATGAAAATTAAACAATTCTATCGCTATATATTTTTCCCAGATAATATTCTGATTAGCTGAACTGGCTTCACATAGACTTGGATAATGTTCTTTAAGATCTTATTCCTTTACTCGTTAAAAATAGTGCATTCAGAAAGGTAGTGGGTCATTTCTTCTATGCTATCAGTTTTGCAGAATTTACAAATTACATCTTCCTTTTTAATTATTTGAATGTGACTTTCTTAGAAAAGTCGAAGTGATTCTTGTTTGGGTAATCAAATAAATAAATAGTGTGTGATATTTCGGTAACAGGATTGTTACCATCTTCAGACAAGAATACTGAATGATTTATTTGGATTTGGTCTTATCACCTTATGTTTATAAACTATAATGAAATTGTGCCATATTGTTCATTGGTCTAATTTTTCAGTGTGTTTGGATTCTAGATTGTGTGTTATTAGAATTTCCTTTATTTTGGCAAATTGCAGTAATAAAAAATGGAGACAGGTCTCAAACTTTCCTGGTACAAATATACTAGGGCACTGAAGTTCTCTTCACACCCATACAAAAGGGTTGAAGTTAATGCTTTTAAATGTGGTGGGAATTAATATGTTTTTTTAAGCTGTCTGACCTTATTGCTCTGTAATCACAGTGAGAGCAAGAGTAAGACTTCTCACCAGTGTGGGTGTTAATATGTCTTTTTAAATGAGAAGAGTAATTTGTCCTGTATTCACAGTGAGGGCAAATAAGGGGCTTCTCACCAGTGTGGGTGTTAATATGAATTTTTAAATAAGAGCAATTTGTCCTGTATTCACAGTGAGGGCAAATAAGGGGCTTCTCACCAGTGTGGGTGTTAATATGTCTTTTTAAATGAGAAGAGTCATTTGTCCTGTATTCACAGTGAGGGCAAATAAGGGGCTTCTCACCAGTGTGGGTGTTAATATGAATTTTTAAATGAGAAGAGTAATTTGTCCTGTATTCACAGTGAGGGCAAATAAGGGGCTTCTCACCAGTGTGGGTGTTAATATGTCTTTTTAAATGAGAAGAGTAATTTGTCCTGTATTCACAGTGAGGGCAAATAAGGGGCTTCTCACCAGTGTGGGTGTTAATATGAATTTTTAAATGAGAAGAGTAATTTGTCCTGTATTCACAGTGAGGGCAAATAAGGGGCTTCTCACCAGTGTGGGTGTTAATATGTCTTTTTAAATGAGAAGAGTAATTTGTCCTATATTCACAGTGAGGGCAAATAAGGGGCATCTCACCAATGTGGGTGTTAATATGAATTTTTAAATAAGAAGAGTAATTTGTCCTGTATTCACAGTGAGGGCAAATAAGGGGCTTCTCACCAGTGTGGGTGTTAATATGTCTTTTTAAATGAGAAGAGTAATTTGTCCTATATTCACAGTGAGGGCAAATAAGGGGCATCTCACCAGTGTGGGTGTTAATATGAATTTTTAAATGAGAAGAGTAATTTGTCCTGTATTCACAGTGAGGGCAAATAAGGGGCTTCTCACCAGTGTGGGTTCTAATATGAGCTTGTAAGTTTGTACGTTGTATTGTTCTAAAATCACAGTGAGGACAATGGTGTGGCATTAAATCAGTGTGCATTTTTATATGATGATATCTTAAGGCGCTTGAGCTTATTGCTCTGTAATCACAGTGAGGGCAAATAAGGGGCTTCTCACCAGTGTGGGTTCTAATATGAGCTTGTAAGTTTGTACGTTGTATTGTTCTAAAATCACAGTGAGGACAATGGTGTGGCATTAAATCAGTGTGCTTTTTTATATGATGATATCTTAAGGCGCTTGAGCTTATTGCTCTGTAATCACAGTGAGGGCAAATAAGGGGCTTCTCACCAGTGTGGGTTCTAATATGAGCTTGTAAGTTTGAACGTTGTATTGTTCTAAAATCACAGTGAGGACAATGGTGTGGCATTAAATCAGTGTGCTTTTTTATATGATGATATCTTAAGGCGCTTGAGCTTATTGCTCTGTAATCACAGTGAGAGCAAGAGTAAGGCTTCTCACCAGTGTGGGTTTTAATATGAATTTTTAAATGAAAAGAGTTGTTTGTCCTATATTCACAGTGAGGGCAAATAAGGGGCTTCTCACCAGTGTGGGTGTTAATATGAATTTTTAAATGAGAAGAGTAATTTGTCCTGTATTCACAGTGAGGGCAAAGAAGCAGCTTCTCACAAATGTGAGTTCTAATATGTTTTTTAAAGTCACTTGAGTAATTTGTGCTGAAATCACAGTGAGGGCAAATGTGGAGCTTCTCACTAGTGTGGGTTCTAATATGATTTTGTAATTTAACATATTCTATTGTTTTAAAATCACAATAAGGACATTGGCTGAGATTTCTAACACTGTTGATTTTTTTTTTCTAAGTCACTAGAGTAATTTGGCAAGAGATCACAGTGGGTCTTTTCACCAATATGGTTTCGCTGGTTTAATATTAAACGCTTATGCGTATTGTTTGTATATTACAGAAGGAACTGGCACACTTTTTCTCTTCTGTGTTATTGTGTGTGTTGAATAAAATGCTTGATGAATCTGGTGTGATACAGGTGAGCAGCTCTGCATTTGACTGGTTTGCCATTTCTCCTGCAGATATGGCTGGAATCTTCTTCCTGCTCTCAGAGGAAATACTTGATGTATTCACTGAGAGATGCTGCAACAGACTTTCATCATTAGTAAGAATTTCTTTTGGGTTGTAATAAAAAAGATGAAAACATTTAAAATATACAAGTATCAGAGCAATCAACAAAAAACAATCAATAATTCTGTCACTGTTTGCTTTTGTGAATGGAATAAATACCCAAATATGGCCATTTCTTATAAGCATCGGTGGTTCAGTGGAGAGAATGCTCGCCTGCCACGCGGGCGGCCTGGGTTCGATTCCCGGCTGATGCATTTTTTTTTTACAATTTTTAAAGCTCATTTGTATTATTATTATTAAAATATACAAGTATCAGAGTCATCAATTCTGTCATCATTTGCTTTTGTGAATGGAATGCTTTTATGTAATATATGTAAAATACGTAACTAATATGACTGAAATTTTAGCAGTATGTATAGTAGAATCTGGAAAAACTTATATTGAATATTTCAGGTCTCTATCCCGAATATTCTTAAGAGTAATTTGCAAATTTGAGTTGCAAATTTGCTCTTTCGCTTGCAAGCAGTGCCTCTAGCGGTGAAGATGGGAGGTAATATTAGCTGACCTAATGTACATGTAAAACGTGTTTTAACAGGACATAGAAAAAATATGGAAGAGATATTTGTCGCATTTTTAGCCAAGAAAAATTGAAATTGACAGGTTTTGGGCAAAAATAGTTGGTTTTTTTAGTCAGAAAATGATTATGACAATATTGCTGTATCATATTTGATTATCAGATACAAAATTATATCCTGAAAAATTCCAAAAAGCAGAGACCACGGGTGAAGCCAGTTCATTTTTAGTATGCAGGAACAAAATTCTAACAGAAAAACATTCATTCGAGCAGAAGACACAAAGCCAGATCATCTCTTTATAAAAATATCTCTTCTCAGACACAAAGTTTGGAGCGGGACGTTTCACAGGAATGACATCCACGGCGCCAATTTATAATTGTAACGAATAGTATTTGAATAAAAGCATTTAATCGGGTAAAACCCGGGCATTGCCCGGGTCATTCGGCTAGTGTATCATAAGGTCAATAAACTTTCTGGTGTGATTATATTGGCATATTGTACTTATGAAATGTGAAACAGGTTGTTAAAAATCTGTATTTTAGTTAAATGTGATTCCTGATCATTACCTTTCCATAAAAAAAGGATTTCTCAATTTTTTTCTACACAAGTATTATTTTCTAATTCTGTTAAAGTTGAAAATATTGAACATAATTCTAACAAAAGCCAACATCTAATTTGGAGAGGTTTCTTTCTATTTCTACTTTCTAAAAAATAATTAAAAAAATTCAAAATATCTTCCAAGTATTTAGATAAATATAGTCACAGCAGAGAAGACTAGTCTTCTAATAGTTTGTTTAAAAAATGTATTAACAAAATCTATAGAATGGTGTGGTGATAATGATTTTACAAGTGATCATCTACAAGAATGGTAAGGAGTCTGTAATCTGACTGCTTTTTGAACCGACTGTGTATTCGGAGATAAGACAACCCATATAGAATAAATACCTTAAGCACACTGTAGATGGACCAATGTCTACAATTACATAATTATGCCTTGCATCGCAGTACCAGAAGCAGTCTATTCTATTTGCACACAAGAACCTCCAATTTTTCACCCAACAGGTCAAT